TACCTATTACCATGACCTGTTAATTAAGCATTTATTCTCCCTGGTCCGATCTTGATTCCTATCCCTCTTTCTATAACACACTGTGGTTACTTCTGTCCTTGATATGTGGATGCCATTTTACCCATTTCATTTCAACTATATGCAGCAATCTGTTGCCTAATTTCAGAAATCTTTTTAGCCATTCCTTGGCTCTATCTGGACACAGCTGGGCACAAGATCAGAACTGGAGTCCTTGGTCACTCATTGCCACTACCACCTTTGCTTTCCAACATTAGTTGAGGACTGAGTTTTCATGCTATGGATTGTGCTTTCAGTGATCCTTCTTCTTGCTTCTCCTTCCTTACCAACGAGTTATCTGGCAGTTGGGCTATTTCTGAACATAGGTTTAGTGCTGCACCCGTGTCCTGAAATAGCCTGACTGGCAGGTAACAGATGCAAAGAAAGGACTGAACTTAGCAGGGGCATTGAGGAAACTCCTATTCATTTCACGCTTCTTTCTATGCCTGTTACCTGGTCTATAGAAGAATATGGTATTGAGGATGGTGGACAAAAATAGCCCGGGTTGACAGGAGCAGAGACTGGAGGAAGGATTGCAAGAAGCATTCTGAGAGCTCCCTAATGCCTGCCATTGGTTACTGAAACTGCACAATGCTTACCTGCCTAGATATTGGTGGCCTTCATCCTAGATACTGATTTGAAAGTGAATGCTTGATGGAGATCAGAGAGGTTGGCCTCAAAATAGTTTAGAATGGAGAATGGATTGGCTGAAGTTTCAAAGTTTCACCCTAGAAGACTCAAAATTCATCTGCTTAAGTATGAGATCACAATCAACAGCAATGAGAGAACCAACATCAGACACATAGCCAATTTTCTATAAAGAAGGCCCATTTGGTCAGATCTAGGACATTTATCTCAGAGCTGGGGTTTCTGCAATTGTCACAGGGCTTCTGTCATGGTAATAACACAGAATTTGTATAAAACATAGTGGAAAGTTTGTTTTCTGCTTAGATGTTCTAGTACTGCTATTCCACACCACTTGCAACTGATAGTTTTTAAGCTACTTTGTCTTCTGGCAGGAGTATGATGATTCTTTGTCTTCTGGCAGGTGATGATTCTTGTATGCAGATATTTGACTACTTATCTTACAGTACTTTCATTATTTTGTTTATCAAACACATTTTTGAAGAATCAGTAGTACCAGTTAAATAAGTGGGACTTCCTTCTTACAACAAGGCCCATGCTATACTATACTATGAAGATGTTGGAGGAGATTTGGAAATCCTGTTGTAAGGGCTTGTTTCTTTGCTCTGTATAGATTGGGACTCTAATAAAGGTACACAAATATACCAGGAACTTGAATACTTTGTATCAATGACTGGAAGAAAAAGAAATAAGGAGAGTGAAGATATTCAGGGAGGCTTTATGTAAATTAAAATGATTTGTTGGTTGATCAGCATACTTGCTGTTAAACTATACACACACCTCCAAAATATGACAGGTTTTTTGCGGTTTTGCTCCGCATTTGGAAGGCTGCCCACTGGGTGGCCGAATGCATCAAGAAAGACACTAACGCAAGTTCTATCTTGGGTGAGCTGCCCCGATCAGGGTTTGGGGAACTCCTTTTATTGGGAACACACAAAGGGGGTGAGTTTATCCAATCATTATGTTACATGCGTAGGAATGTTAGTGGATGCATCGCATCTTCCAATAACCATGCCATGGTAAATTTAAACTAGCAAACCAAACTGCATTTCAGTTAACTGCCCTTGTGACGTGTTTTATGGTCTTGTTCCTGGTGTCTGTTTTCAGCCTACGTGAGACCTAGCATGCACCGGAACCATTGAGGTTGCTCACGTGAGGCTTGGCACACAATGGATTTGGCCCATTACAGCAGTTTTTTTTTTAGATTCAATTGTAAATAAAACTCATCAGAAATAAATTGCTTATATTTGTTTTTGGTGGGGTTCTTTTTTGAAGGGGAAAGAGAGGACTACAGAAAACTTTATATCTAAATCATCTTTGAAGAAATAAATTTGTTTTAATGTAATTGTCTTAGCATCCATTGTTCCTGCAAGAAACATATTGACAAAACCAGATGATCTTAAGGAGTATGAACAGTATATTTTACAATTTCACATATGCCACAAACAATTTTTATTCATTTTGTATAATTAAATTTATTCTCTTTGTTCCCCTTCACAATTAAATATATACATAAGAAAGAATGTTTTCAAAGGAGATATATTGGCTTTTTTGGCTCATTAAATTAAAAGAAAAAGAAAAAAAAATATTTTAAGGCATATTAAGTCAGTATTCAATGAAAAATGATCTAGCTGGATCATTCTCACTCAAATTTAAATTACAAGCTCTTTGGGTTATTTTTCTTTGCTTGTTAGTGGAATAACAAACAGCTTATAACAAAATGTGTTTTTTGTCAGTACACATTAACCTTTACAGCCTATATCATCAGCAGAGATCCCTATCTAGACAGAATTGTTGTTGTTGTTGTTGTTGTTGTTGTTGTTGTTGTTATTATTATTATTATTATTATTATTATTATTATTATTATTATTATTATTTTTATTTGCACCCTTTTCTCTGGTAGCTCAAGGCACTATCAGTTTCCCCCTAATTTTGTTCCTACAAAAACAACCTCTTCTGAGGAGGACTAGATTGAAAAAGAATGAAGATGCCCAGGGTGCATTATGGTTATTTGTGAACTCAAAATGGCTCTTCTGGTCTAAGAGCACACTTCAGCTACTATACTCTACTGATTATAGCTTGAGTTTAATACTTTTAGTATCATACTTTTTTTTTGCATTCATTCTCTACATTATCTTCTAAAGCAAAATACAGGTAACCCCCTCAACTTATAACCATTCATTTAATGACTGTTGGAAATTACGATGGAGCTGGAAAACGGTCCTTTCAGGGTCCCTGCAGTCATATGATCAAAATTTGGGTCATCATGTATTTATGATGGTTGCAATGTCCTGTGACATGATTGCTATTTCCAACCTTCCCAGGGGACTTCCGACAAGTCAATGGGGGAAGTTGAATATGCTTTACTTAACCACTGCAGCAGAAATTGGGCATGTCTCACTTAATGCCTGCATTGTTTAGAGACAAAGTTGCAGTCCAAACTCTGTAAGTTAAAGGCTACATGTAATGAATTAAATGTTTATGGTTTTTCTATTTATTACTTGTAATGTTCTAAAAACATTACCCAAATGCAATGTAAATAGGTACATGTTTGATAAAAATATATGTTTAAATATATAATTAAAAATATAACATAACCAAGATTAATTCTGGCACAGAAAAAAAAAGTCATTTCTGACCTGAAAACTAGCAGTTAAAGATGGGGTAAGTTTTGTTCTAACCATGTGCTGAGGAAAGTATAAGTTTGGTCTATCATTTTAATTCATGTTGCTGAAAAAGTGCAAACATTGTTTTTATTATCAGAAACACCTTTTCTCTGCAATATTCTAATATATGGAATATATTCTTATATGACTAACAAAAAGGATTGTTAGGGCCACCAGTATACATTACTTTCTCTGTTAAGCTAAAAAGGTTGCTATACTGTAAGAAAAAGACGTAAGAGGTTAGCAGCCACTAAGATATCAACATAGCATATCTTTTTAATGTTTTTGTATGTAACTGTGAGGCATGGGGCTGTATCTGCACACCTGCTAATTTCACATATGGCAAGCACAGAATTCAAAATGCAAAAAAAACAAAACCAAATCTCTAAATCTGGGGCCCATCAGAGCTGTTGATTTCCCCTATTTTTCCATGGCATAAATCATAAAAGCTTTCTTCTTTTTTCCTTGTCAAGTGCTACTGACTTAATTTTATCAGATGGACCAGATGGGAGACATGACCAGATAAGCTAATTCTCCATTACATTAACAATATCTTGTAAGCCTAAAAGTAAAAATTTCCCCCAATCACTTTTATAGCCTGATAATTTAGGGATGGCCCCTGCTGAGAGCCTTGTTCTGCCCACTATGTAGGCTATCTTCTCTCTTATCTGGCTGCTCCCTAGGCAGTATCTCTTTATTGGTCTCCCAAGATCATTTCCACATACTATTACATTAGTAGAACAAGATGACATCTACTTTACCTACCTACTGTTCTTCCTGAGTAGAGAGCGAAGTCTTCAATAGGAGTAAGTGCTTGACTCCCTCATACATAAAGAGAAAAATTACTTTGGGGTGGCTTACTTTTCCAAATGTATGTTTTCTGAGGTTATTTAGTCTGCTGGGAGAATTAAAAAGCTGAATCAGCATTGTTTTATCTTTTTTAATTACAGATAGTCCTTGACTTATGATCACTTGCTTAACAACTGTTCAAAGTTATGAAAGCACTGAAAAAATGACTTAGAACCATTATAATATCTCCATTGTAAAATTCTGGTGTTTGGCATTTATTTACAAGGGGGTCACTTGATCCCATTTTGTCACCTTTCCAGGGTAGCTTCCAACAAGCAAAGTTAACAGGGGGAGCTGGATTAAAGTGAATCTGGCTAAGTGATTTGCTTGATGATTACAGCAAAAAGGTTGAAAAATAAGGTGTGACTTACTTAGTAGTGGTGATCATAAGAACTACCTGTATACTTTAAACACATGAAGAAAATGCTTACATTCACAAATGTAAACTTACATTCACAAAATGCTTATGTTCTGTAATTCTAAACCGGTAATTGCTTTTTAATATATTTGTAATTGTAACTATTTCTTTAAATGATGTAATGAATTTATTTTGATGTTATATGCTACTTGAAGATGTTTTCATGAGAGGTGACATTTAAATAAATGAAACCCGAAATGAATGACAGCCACTCCTCTAAAAATAGTTTGAAATCCTTTTTATCAATCAATAGGAAACTCTTCAGGATGAATGCAATTATGAGCTATGTGGGCTGCCTTGACAAACTGATCTTGCCCATACTGTTTTCCTCTCTTTCTAGTTCCAGTTCCTCCCAAATCTGTTACTTCTCTGATGATGAACAAAGATGGCTTCCTTGGTGGTGTGTCTGTAAACACAGGTGAAGTGTTTTGTTCGGTACCTGGGAGGCTCTCCTTGCTCAGTTCGACGTCCAAGTACAAAGTCACTGTTGGAGAAGTTCAACGGCGCCTTTCACCTCCTGAGTGCTTAAACGCTTCCCTCCTTGGAGGAGTCCTTAGAAGGTAAGTCATGAGGCAGGCCAATCTGTACTTTTTGATGGGATTAAAACTGCATTAAGATTACTATAAGCAGCCATTGAGTTAAGAGATATAAGTGGATGCATATGAGATATACTTAACAGTCTGGAGGTCATTGCCACTGGCACCCATTATATTATGCCAATCATGTTATATGGTTCATTAATTCTGTAAGACTGGCCACTTTCTTTAAATAATAAACTGGTTATTTCTGTCTGTTTATAATTCAGATCAATATCCTGGAGTTTCTATTTTAAAGTTTCTCGCAGCTTCAAGAATATTCTGCCTAGATGTTAAGCAGATATAGGTAACAAATGGCAAAAAAGCTTTTTCACTAATGTCCAACCTTTACTGTTCACCCAGGGTGGCTCAGTACTTATGAATGGAGACTCTTAGGTCAACTGGATATTTATCTGCCTTAGAAGGAGGTGGATGTGCTTCATTACAATCTTCCTCACTTTAGGATTATTCCTGTTTGCATTTCTGAATGTTGTTATAAGCTATGCTGCAAACTGTCTGGAAGTTTTAACTGAATGTTACAATTGAATTAGTTTTAAATAATTAATGGTTATGAATTTTATAATTTACCATTTAGTTTGGTATATTGCACTAGTGGAGAATGAAGGAGCAGATGAGGTTTCAAATGCCTGAAATGTCTTAAGCAATCATTTAAAATTTTGTTCCTCTTCGCAGTATGAATTTATAATATTCATTTATTTTACATAATTGCTATAAGAATTTATAAGATCTGTAAAAACTTAAATATGATTGGAAACGATGAAGAAGGAATAGGTTCCTGATTTTTTTTGTACTCCCTTAACTTTAAGGATAGCATTATTGGGCAAATGTTATTATTGGGACTTATAGAATACAAGACTTTCATGAAAAGCCCTTGAGTAAGCATAGACACAATATTTGTCTTAAAAATAAAAAAGAACGGATAAAATAGGGATGAACAGTTCCACAATGGAAAAGAGTAAAACAGTGAAGACTAGTACTTCCCAGTTTGTTCAAAAACAACTTATAAATATGTGACCAAGCCCAGAAGACCCCAAACTGATGAAGATATTAAAACAAAAAGGGATTAATAAAAAAATCTGAATAGGTATTTTTAAACTGGAAAAATGACTATAAAATGTTATTCATTTGCAAGTAATGGTAAAATGATGCACATGAGAGTGAGGAAGATTATTTTTGTATAGAAGATCAGAATAAGAATACAGCCTTGTTTCTGTGGTGAACAATTTAAAAAAAAAATCAATTTAATGTGAAAAAGCTGAATTCCAGTGCTAGGCAATCATTGGGAAGGATTCTGAAAATAAAATTTCCAGTATCAGTTCATTGACAATCTACAATACAACTACATTTGGAAAACCGCATAGTTTTTATCATTCAGTCACAAAAAATGATATTGTAATGTTGGAGAAAATAGGGGGGGAAAGGAACCAAAATAAGTGAAGGACCTGAAAGCATTATTAATAGCATTATTGTGAAGTATCAACTTCGGTAAAAGTTGAGTAAAGCAGAAATAACAGAAATATAAAACTACACATGATAAGGAAGAAATTGATAGAGAGGAATTATTTTATCTTTCTCAAAATGCCAGAACTTGGGATCATTAATTATAGTGGAATGATAGAATATGCAGCAGAAATAAAATGGAGGCACTTTTCACAATGCCTACCCTAGTTGAAGTATGGAATTCTCTATCATAGCACGGGTGGCTTGAAAAGACTTGAAAAAGATTTATTTCTTAAATGTTTATCCTGGAAATTTTATTTTTTATTAAACAAACATATATTGCTGCCCAACTGAAACATAGGTGACTCCTGGCAGCTTACAATATTTTTTTTTTTTAAAAAAACCCATCATACAATAGAACTGCTAAAAAGAAAAATCTACCTCCCTACCCTACCTCCCATGGCAGCAATGATACAATTAGATTAGCCAACTGGATTTCCTTCAGGTAGTATACACCAGCTCTTTCCTCCAAATTTTTTCACAACAACCCTGCTATGTAGGTTGGGCTAAGAGATTGATTGGCCCCAAGTCACTTAGTGAAACTGAATCTCCCTGGTCCTAATTCAGCGCCTCAACCACAACACTGTGGCTATTAGTCATGATAGTAGCTATCTCCAGGAACAACAGCATTGAAGAGAAGCCTTTGCTCTTATATGCTGGCTGGGAATTCTCAGTGTGACGTTTGAAAGCACGAGGTCAGAAAAAGGTTGTCCTAAAATTAACACATCCAATTTCAGAAAAAAACTGTAAAAACTGTCTTCCAGAAACAACCAGACTCTAATCACAAATTTCCAAATCTCTGTTCTCTAGTATATCTGGAGCTATGCTACTCAAACATTTTGACCATTTGCAAAAAAAACCTACATGCTGTGAGAATGAGCATATCCCCCTAATTTTGCAAGGCTACGATCATTTCCCCACTAGTGACTTCTAGTATTTTTCTGGCATCACTCAGACAATATAAAGTCTGTCATAACTGCTACATTGGGCCAATGATGGTTGGAACAGGGGTTCACCTGGGATTCACAAACATTAAGATCCCTTTACATACTTAAAAATGATTGAGGATCCCGAAGAGTTTTGGTTTATGTGGGTTATACCTATTGATTTTGACTATTAGAAATTAAAACTGGGAAATGTTAAAATATTTGACTTTGAGGACCCCTGAAAGCCCCCCCCCCACTACCCTTAGAGAACCACTGCTCTAGTCTAGAAGATGCTAGTAGAGATCCTGTCTGTAGCTCACAGGCCATGGTCAGCCAAGCCAGTGCTCACTCTTGTCCTTCCAAATGGATCAACCACTGTCCACCTCACTAGATTTCATTGGATCCCTGCCTTGGAAATGAGCTCTGCACAAAAATAAAATACATTGCTGATGCATCCCCCTTTTCTCCAGTGGTCCCCTACTTGTGATTATTTCATTCATTTGCCATAAAAAACAGGGAAACGGATAGGCAGGGGGTGATGCTTATTTGAAAAACAATACACATATGGCACTCTAAACACCTTGAAAGCCACTTCCTGCTGCCCCAACTTCTCTCCTGGTGGAGGCCTAACAGCCATGTTGCCTTTGGATTTCTTCCTCTTCCTGTGCCAGGCAGCTGCTACAATAGGATTGCATCTTTTCAGGCACTTGTAAACCCTCATTTCTGAAGTGGCATTTGTTGCCTTGCATCATTACTGTTCGAAATTATTACTATATTATTACTATATTATTACTAAATTATTACTATATTACTTCTTATACAAAAGCATGCAGAACACTTACTGGATTTTGTTATTGCACACCATTAAAGCATACTTTCACAAATCTGCCCTACATTGCTGGGGGTGGTGGCACAGTTCCCTTTCCACACCAGGTCATTCTCCGGCTCCAATCCAGTCTTTTTACTTCTTAGCCCCTTTGAGTGTTTTGTGAGCAAAATTACAACAGAAACAACCACAAATCACCACCCTTAAATGCTGCCGGTGACGCAGCTTTCCAAAAACAGCCAGTTTGTTCCTGGTAGTAGTAGGGCCAAAGCTGACATAATCCTCCCTCCCCGTTCACTTGCAGCCAGCAAACCCGAGGCCCAAGGAACAACAGGGGTTCAGGTTGCAGCGGGCCCGGCGAGCCTCTCTTGCCAAGGGGCGGCGTTTCTTTTTCTTTCCCGCCCTCTGGGCACCACGAAGCTTTCCCTGTGCACACCAAGCCTGGTGCCCAAAGCCAGGACTTTGGTGCCTCCCACCCCTCAGCCCCCTCCTCTCTTTCTTTCTCTCTCTCTTTCTGACATTCGTCGGAGTTTTAAATCCCCGCGTTCCTTTTTTCGTCACTGCAGAGCCAAATCGAAAAATGGGGGGCGATCGTTGCGAGAGCGGCTAGAAAAAATCGGTTTGAATTTACCAGCCGGCAGGCGCAAAGCAGCAAATGTCACTTTACTCACCTCCCTGGTGGAAGGTAAGCAGACTTTCTGTCCATTTCGATTTCTTCTCACTCCCCCCCCCGCACCCCCGCACCCCAACCTCCTCTGGCGACACTTCTGGGCGAGAAGTGACATTTTGTAAAGTTGCATCGAATCGTTGTTGCTGTGGCATGAAAAATCTGCCAAGCAGAAAATCAAGGCTCATTACTTATCCCAACTGGGGCTGTGTTTAAGATTCAGCAAGATTGGCATTTCCTTTTAAGTAACAGTATTACATGAATTCTGCAGTTGCCAGCTTAATTTTTTTCCTGTTTAAATGGTACTTCCAAAATTAAACACTGTTGTCATATATACTTGTTAAGACATACTAAGCAGTGGTTACCATATCTGTCCTCATGGAAGAGGAAGATACTTTAATTAAAACATTTTGAGGAGTGGGGAATAACACTCCCTCCAAACTAACTTCTCCATCAAACTTAAATGTATATACAGCATAGAAAAGGAAGTGTCACGGTATTTGTAGATGTGGAATTTGTTCTCAAATAAATATATATAGAACTAAAGAGTTCTGGAAAATATTTATTTTTAAATTTATTTGCAATGGGGTTACTTCAGGCCACTTAAAACCAGAAATGAAAAGAAGTGTAAACATAACAGTAGCAAGATAATAAACCTATAAAATAAACAATGAAATAAATAATGAAAATACAGTACAGGAACATGAGATTAAAAGATTGGCCAGGGGAAGCAGGGAAATGGAGGGGGGAGGGGGGTTTGCTATCAATCTAGTAGCCAACTCCAGTGTGGTATTCCCCCTTTGGGCCCCTAATAAAACAAAGTTAAAAGAAATAAATGTTTATGTCATATGTTTGCTTGGACAACAGAACATTTCATCAGACTAATAGTTAAATATTGAACATACCAGAGGTTAAAAAGAAATAATAATGAGAGAAGATATAGGGCAGTGAAATAGAAGTGAAACCAGAATGATTTTTTTATCAATAGCAACTATTTGCAAAACAATTGAAGAGAAGTGACATGCTATCATGTCACTCCTAGTCTTTCTTTTCATTAAAGTAGACATACCCATTTCAGCAGTCGTATTTTATATGTTTTAGCCTCCAATTATCTTTGTTGCTTTTCTCTGCACTCTTTCTAGAGTCTCAACTCCAGAAAGAGACTAGAGTGACTGGCCCAAAGTCACCCAGCTGAGTTTTATGTCTAAGACAGAACTAGAACTCACATTCTCCTGAGTAATGGCTCATGTCTTAACCAGTAGAGCAGACTAGCTCTGTTATGATTGTTAATATATATTTTATAACAATGTTATTTCTCATCTGGGCCAACCAGTTTTTTCACTGTAAAGCTAAATGTCAGTCCATCTGGCAGAAATTGGTACTTTCTATCAGTACTATTGTATCTGCTTCTAATAGTGCCCAAATATTTACAACCTATATATGAGTTATAGAAAGAGAGAAAGTTAGACAAGTGATAGAATATGAAATAGATATCTTTATCGCTTTCTTTCCCTATGTTAAGGATTCATCAGAGGTAATAGAATTGATATCGCTTTTCTAAATTTTACTACAATAATTAAATATTCATGAGAAATTTGTTTCTCTCCAATTTCCTTATCTGTTCAGAATTGAATGTTATTCATTTATCAATCAAACAGTTACTAAAATGTATTTGCTTTTAAAGATTAAAATTCAGAGGCGTATATTGTGTTTACCTTCTTTCTTAGATTTTAAATTACAATATAGTATCATAGCTTGACAGAGCAAAGAAATATGAAAATAAATAGCAATGTAAGTTTTTAATTGTATACTTACCTCATCTTTTGTATGTCAAACTAATTCCTACTAGCAAGAGTAGGACTTTGGAGTAAGTATGTCTAGGATCATGGCTTTTAGATTAAAGAGTTGGCATAAGCTGTGTATTGCAGTCTACAGAGGCAAAGAGAATGGAATAGAAATAACTTCAGTTGTATTTGTTTATAATTTATCCAGTCCATTGAAATATATGAATTTTTCTAAAAAGATGATGCCAAGTATGTTTCAGATTATACCCTTAATATTTGTGAGAGGAAGATGGCAAGAGGAAACAGACAAGAAGCAAAAATAACAAGAGGCCAATGTCAGCAAATTCAGACATGTATTGTATATTTAGATTTCACATGAATAACCTGGCTATAAGATTACAGTGATCTCTGTATTTGCTTTAGAATTAATCATGGATAAGATGGTTATCCAGTGAATATATACTACACAGGAAGGCTTCTATTCCAGGCGTGTGTGTATCTGTGCGTGTGTCACTGTGTGTGTTTGTTTGCTTACATAACAGCAATAAGCCTGTGCTGGCAGAAGTGAGAGGCACCATGTGTTTTCTCCCATTCTGCTTCTGTTCTCTTTCCACTTCCCCCATTTCCAATTAACCCATGGGAGATTAATAAAGGAGGATCAGTAGAGGTTCTGCTTGGTAGCTTCTTACACATCAGACATAGTTCTCTTGGAGGACTGTTTGCTAATCAGAATCAGGCCATGATTATACATTATGGTCAAGGTGTTCTAATTAACCATTATTTGATCCAAGGTTTGAGTTGAGATGGCATGCTAAGCCAAGCCACAGTACTGTATTATTTAGTAATTCATATGATCCAGGTGTGAGATAGATAAGATGGATTAATATATCACCAACTTATTTTATAATGGATGAATAGCATGCCTAAATATTCTGTTGTGTGCATTTATGCTGTTCTATCATTGCATTTCACGGCATCTTGTTTCTAATTATTGAGCTTCTGGGAACTGATGGGGAGCAGTGCTTGGAACATGTCCTTTAATTTGTTATATACTGTATGGCCTGACTTGAATAATTCAGAATATGAATTACTTGAATTGTGCCCAAAAAGACAAATGTACAGTATGTATTCAAAGGCACTATATCTTTGTTTTTCACAGTTTTGAAGCCACATCCTAACTGGAATTTTTGACAGCAACAATTAATGAATAAGCTACATTTTATGTATTGATGTTTACTCAGTTCTTTATGTTTACTTGTTATGTTTCCTTCATTCAAAACATGTTTTATAATGTTGATATGCCTTGAACATGTCAAGATCTTTCACATTAACTGGGCCTCCTTCATAACTTTTTTTAAAGCTGAGGACTGAGGATTTGGAAGAGTGAGCTAAGGCCCACAAATCTGGATTGGGAGGTATTTTTTTCAAGGTAAAGTTTAATTGAGATAGTAAACACTACTGTTGGCTTTCAGGTAGATTGCAAATTGTCCTGAGCTGGTTATGGTGACCAAAGCTGCTTGTTTTTTTCCTAGGAGAAGCTGTACATTTAGCTCGGGATTTTGGATACATCTGTGAAACTGAATTTCCGGCCAAAGCAGTTTCTGAATACCTGAACAGACAGCACACAGACCCTACTGATCTCCACTCCCGAAAGAATATGCTGCTTGCCACTAAGTGAGTAGAAATACAGTCCTTGAACAGGCTTTGATTTCAAGACCCCGGCCTAATGTTATTTTCTCTTGCATTAACAATCCATTTGGTTTCATTTCAAGGTTCAGTCTAAATGTTTTTGTTTTCATATATAAAAAAGTAACTAGCCAATACTGGCCCAAATCTATTTCAAACTGAAAAAAAGAAGAACAGGAAAAAGAAGAATAAATGTGAACAAAGAGAGAAAAGACAGATAGAAAGATTTGTCAAAGAAAGTCAGATGTAAAAAGAATGAACAGAAATATAAGAAAATCAGTTTCCCTTAATTACTTTTTCAATTCTATTCTGTGGCTAGGTACTGAAAATCCCTCCCCAGAGTATAACTGAATAAACACACTGGATGGGTTTACAATCTGGAAAATTTATCTTAAAGAAAAAAATGTGTTGATATTTCAAATTATCATTACAACATATTAGAGAGATAAATGGAGATTTAGCATAAAATGACTTGTCAAAAGTAAATTGTGGTTGCCTGATATTAGCAATTTCCTGCATCCCAGGGATACCATTTATTATTGTATCTGATTGTCCTTCATTTGGTCTGCTGAATCTAGTGCCTACCAAAATAAATGTGCAAAACTTCAGCCCACTGGGTATGAATAAGGATCTGTTTTAGTTTTTGGAATGTCTTTGAGGTGTTATTTCACCATCTTGGAACTCTTCAGAGTTGTAGCAATGTAATAAACATCTTCTTCATGGATAAAATATTCTAGGACATATTTGATAATTAGAAAATAATTCTGAAGCAATCCTGGGAATTATGCTAGGAGTCAGCCTGGAGCCTATAGCATGCTATAACTGCTCTACAGAAAAGAAAGGAGTATTTATGAAAAGCTCCAGAAAAGGAGATAGGGCTCCTTTCCTCTCCTGTGACAGACTGCAAGCTGAAATGAAATAGAATGCTAAATACTACTGAATAGATGAGCATGAAACCTTCAGTTCAAGGGCCGACAAACATTGTGGCTGTTGAAAATGCTTTTGCATCACAAGCTGCCAAACTAAACTTTGCACACTACTTTTTGGGTCAGACAAAAAATAAAAATAAAACACAGACAAAGAGACAAAGTGGTTGTTCAGCTGTCATGTAAGTTATCTTAGATTGTCATTTTAATGCTCACTGTTTGTATATCCTTCTTACATGAGGGGAAAATAATTCCTTTTACAAATCTATGTACGTCACTTTGATCCACTTATAAAAATAAAAATCCAAACTACAAGTAACAAAAATTATGTACCAAAGCAAATGTCCTGTGCTTCTAATTATAGCAATAGCACTTAGACTTATATACCGCTTCACAGTGCTTTACAGCTCTCACTAAGCGGTTTACAGAGTCAGCATATTGCCCCCAACAATCTGGGTCCTCATTTTATCGACCTTGGAAGGATGGAAGGCTGAGTCAACCTTGAGCCTGGTGAGATTCGAACTGCCAAATTGCAGTCAGCAGAAGTAGCCTGAGTACTGCATTCTAACCACTGTGCCACCATGGTTCAATCATATAACAGTACCTGCAGTGACGATACTAGCCAATAAGCCTCACCTGCCAACTGAGTTTTTGCAGCTATCCACCTTATAAATGTTATAAATCTACAGATAACAGACCTTGCTGCCAGTCAAATAATCTATGAGTTCTCCCACCATTATCAAAAAGAAGCTGGAGAACCTTAGCTGAGAATATTGCTTGTAAGTCAATCAAATGTAATATTTCAAAATATACAGGTCTGAAAGACCAGTTCTAATTTCCTTGAAGTTGATCCTAAAAAGCATGGTTATTTTTATCAAATGATCAAGATTATGTTAGCTGTATAACTAATGGTTAAAGTAATTTTTAACAATTCCTAAGTTGGTAATTGCAACAGAATATGGCACTATTTCTAGGTGTGGGAACCATGAAGTGTAGTGGAAGTGTTCAAGCATTCTTATTACTAATCTTGACACCTGTGGAAACTACTATACAGGTGAAACTCAAAAAATTAGAATATCATGCAAAAGTTCATTTATTTCAGTAATGCAACTTAAAAGGTGAACCTAATATATGAGATAGACTCATTACATGCAAAGCAAGATAGTTCAAGCTGATAATTGAGATAATTGAGATGATTATGGCTTACAGCTCATGAAAACTCCAAATCCACAATTTCAGAAAATTAGAATATTGTGAAAAGGTTCAATATTCTAGGCTCAAAGTGTCCCACTATAATCAGCTAATAAAGCCATAACACCTGCAAAGGGTTCCTGAGCCTTTAAATAGTCTCTCAGTCTGGTTCAGTAGGAATCACAATCATGGGAAAGACTGCTGACCTGACATTTGTGCAGAAAACCATCATTGACACCCTCCATAAGGAGGGAAAGCCTCAAAAGGTAATTGCAAAAGAAGTTGGATGTTCCCAAAGTGCTGTATCAAAGCACATTAATAGAAAACTATGTGGAAGGGAAAAGTGTGGAAGAAAAAGGTGGACAAGCAGCAGGGATGACCGCAGCCTGGAGAGGATAGTCAGGAAAAGGCCATTCAAAAGTGTTGGGGACTTTCACAAGAAGTGGACTGAGGCTGGAGTCAGTGCATCAAGAGCCACCACACACAGACGGATCCTGGACATGGGCTTCAAATGTCGTACTCCTCTTGTCAAGCCACTCCTGAACAACAAACAACGTCAGAAGCGTCTTACCTGGGCTAAAGAAAAACAGACCTGGTCTGTTGCTCAGTGGTCCAAAGTTCTCTTTTCTGATGAGAGCAACTTTTGCATCTCATTTGGAAACCAAGGACCCAGAGTCTGGAGGAAGAATGGTGAGGCACACACTGCAAGATGCTTGAAGTCCAGTGTGAAGTTTCCACAGTCTGTGTTGATTTGGGGAGCCATGTCATCTGCTGGTGTTGGTCCACTGTGCTTCATTAAGTCCAGGGTCAATGCAGCCGTCTACCAGGAGATTTTGGAACACTTCATGCTTCCTTCCGCAGACGAGCTTTATGGGGATGCTGACTTCATTTTCCAGCAGGACTTGGCATCTGCCCACCCTGTCAAAAGCACCAGAACCTGGTTCAATGACTGTGAGATTACTGTGCTTGATTGGCCAGCAAACTCGCCTGACCTGAACCCCATAGAGAATCTATGGGGCATTGCCAAGAGAAAGATGAGAGACATGAGATCGAACAATGCAGAAGAGCTGAAGGCCGCTATTGAAGCATCCTGGTCTTCCATAACACTTCAGCAGTGCCACAGGCTGATAGCTTCCATGCCACGCCACATTGAGGCAGTAATTGCTGCAAAAGGGGCCCAAACCAAGTACTGAGTACATATGCATGCTTATACTTTTCAGAGGTCCGATATTGTTCTATGTACAATTCTTGTTTTATTGATTGCATGTAATATTCTAATTTTCTGAGATTGTGGATTTGGGGTTTTCATGAGCTGTAAGCCATAATTATCTCAATTATGACAAATCACAGCTTGAACTATCCTGCTTTGCATGTAATGAGTCTATCTCATATATTAGTTTCACCTTTTAAGTTGCATTATTGAAATAAATGAACTTTTGCACGATATTCTAATTTTTCAAGTTTCACCTGTATGCAGACTTCTTAGAAGTGAAAAGCAATATCAAAAGCCAGAGATAAAGAAAGCCCCACTAAGATGTGGCTTTTCTGCATGAAGATGCAAACCTATAGAAGCTGATTCTCACTGTGTAGGATATTTGCTCTTTCATTTAACAGCACATATTGTTTAATATTAAACACAGATGTTTAATATTTGAATCCATTTGCTTATGAAATCATGATATGTTTATGAAGTCAATCATAGAGAGAAGCTCTTCCTGAAGACATGAAATACATTGTCCTTGAGATATGACAACACTAGGCTGGACAAAAATTGATATATTTATATAATGACAAAAGTCATCAGAAAACTGGATCATAACTGCCTTGGCAGGGAATTTTATGACTACAGAGCAAAAGGGATATGGTTCACAATTAGACAAGTTGGCTCCAAGAAAATCAGGTCTTCCTGAATGCCTCTTCCCTGATTACAAATTGGACAGTCATCAGCATAAGTTAAATATTTGGTTTGGGGACTATCCAGTCTCACAACCTCCAACCAAAAGAGAGACGGGAAAAAAGAATATGTCTAAGAACATTCTATCCATCGACTGAAGAGCTGAAATGGAATCAACTTGTTAACAGATAATGTGATCAGCATGAGAGTTGACAAATAATGTAGTGAATGAATTTGAATCATGAAGTATCATTTGTAGGGCTTAGCACATTTCCACAAATCAGACTTCAGATTCAGAAGACTTTGAGATATTGTAGAAACCAATAACTTCTGTCTCTTCACAATTCATGCATTTTTTAAATCAGAAGATTTACTTCTCAGAAGTGTTTTTTTCCAACAAAGAATGTTCATGTTTTTCCTCCTCGTGTTTCCTTATTCTTCTTTGCATCCATTGAAGCTGATTTATTAATAGCTTAAATTGGCAAATAAAGCACTAAAAAAAGCTTTAAGATATGACATTACTATTGCTGACGCAGAGAAGCTGACTACACATACATAATAAAACTACAGTATAGAGAAGCCAGAATTTTGTGATACAATAAAGATGTTAAAAGATACTCATCTCAGAAACAAATGTACTTGATAATACAAGGAGCATTGCCAAAATGTATGTGACCAAAGAGATATTAATCTTTACTTCAATGAAGCATTTGCATACCTGGTAATATTAAAAGCAGTTCACAAGTGGTACCATTTACCAAGAGAGTTGGCAGGTTCTTCTTTACTGTTTGTATTCAAGTGTATGAAGACAACAATCTCTGGGATGCTTTAATTTGGATTGCTGCACTTAGAGTTGGATTGGACTCGATATCCTAGTGATTCATGTGGTTCTGTTTCTAGTTACACAACTGTTTGGCAGTTCAGTAAAACTAGAAGCAATTCAAACCCTCTATTTTACCCCAAGTGCCTTCTGAATA